GGAGCAGGCCTAAGCCAGCAGGTTGTTATCTCCCGAGGGGGCCCAGACTGCGAGAGGGCACAGGCCGGGCTGAGGGACCCCCCCCCTCCCCACCGAGTGCACAAATTTTTGTGCACCAGGCCTCTAGTATATTATAAAACAAATAATTTATACAGCAAGGCAGAATGTCTTTGAAGTGCTCTGAGATCTGAGAGTGGAATGATTAATAATTCTGCCGTGAGGAATTAATGAAAACTTTGGAAAATATGTGTTATTTGAATTGAAATATGCAGTATGGGTAAGATTTCAAATGTGAATGAAGAAGTTTGTGTGTGTGTGTGTGTGTGTGTGTGTGTGTGTGTGTGTGTGGGGAGTTTACGGTTTGGGTAGAGTCTTGATAAGTCACTAATAAGTGGTGTTCAGAGTTTGCTTCTGGTTTTAATCTGGAAAGACAGATTGGATCTCTCGATTACAAATGGCCACAAATTGTTGTTGCTCCCATGAAAACATAGATTAGACTTCCATATTCCGTAAATTTGAGATAACTTGCTTTGACCAACAGAATGCAGGAGAAGTGAGTTGTATGAGTTGGGAGCCAGGTTTCCAAAGGCCTTATAACTTCTGGTCTCACACTCTTGGATCACTGCCACTATGAGAGCAATTCTGAGATAGACTACTGGAGAGGAAGGGATATGCAGAGAACTGAGGCACCCAGATCCAAGCCTGGCAATGAGCGAGGCCATAATAGGTTAGTTGGCCCCTGACAACTTAGCAGCAGATTGTCCAGATGAGTAAATGCAGATAAGACCAGTGGAAGAGCAGTCAATGGAGATCAGCCAAAATTGCCCATCCTCAGAATGGAAAACTCAGAAATGGTGGCTGTTTTTAAGTCACCAAGTTTTGAAAGTGATTTTTTGCCCAAGAAAGGTAAACTAAGATGGAGCCACTTTGTTAGCGTTTATGGGTAACCAGCTTCTCTAGCTCCAAAAATGAATGTAGATTTTTAAGTTTGGAGTTAATAATGCTTATCTCCCTCTATTATCCGCAGTGCTTCTCAACTTCTATTCCAACTAACCACAGAGAAGGTTGAGCTCTATAATTCCTGAAGTTATTTTTATCCTTTCAGTCTATTTTTAAATGAAATTTCATGATTTTATGCTTTCCTTATGGTGGGGAAGGTAAGGCAAGAATTGTGTGGCTTCTGATAAGAAAACTTGTTTCCACATGTGCAGCCAGGAAGAAATTTCTTATTGTTCAGGTTAACCTTTTAGCTTGCTGTTGACATCTTTGTCTCTTAATTTGTAAGAAGTAACTTCCCAATTGTTTTTGGAGAGGCTTTCAATCTGATTGTCAGATAAAATAAAATTTTAGTGCATTCTCAGGTGAAGCTATTTTCTCTGTGGGCTAAGAGTTTATGAATCAATACCAAGGCTCTCAGGACCAGAATCTAGCTCCATTTTGAATTATACTAAAACTCTAACTTGTCAGCATTAAGTTTGCACATGTCATTCTCTAACTTGTGATTTTAAAGAAAAATTGAAGACAATGTAAAAATTGAATATTTTAAAAGAAGAGTCCATAGAAACCAAGGAATTCTAATATATTTTCCTTTTTTAATAAATACATAAAGCTTTTTACCATTTCCCTCAGTGATTTTGATTAATATGATAGTAGGATCTTTCAGAGCATCATTATACCAATTTTCACAGCCTGATGTAAGAACTCATTTCACAGAAATAATCATGACTAGCATTAATATATGAATGTCAGTGCCATAACACAATAGTATAAGGCATATTTACACCATCTGAACATACAGAACACCATAAACATACACACCAAAAAAATCACAGATCTAGAACAAACAAAACCCAATTTCCTAGACAGCTTACATTAACAGGCTTTGCCTGAAACAATTTTTTTTTTACTTTACTTTTTTATAACATTTTTTTCTTTCCAAACAACAAACAGACCTTCCCTATGTCTTGTGATTTACTTGTAACATTGTGCTCATGCAAAAATAATACTTGTTTTATTGCAATAACAGTTAAACAGTTTTGGATTTGGGTCCCAAAACCATCATCTAACATTTTACTTGATGTTGCTTCATCCATATTGTCCTTTTAGTTGGAGTGATATGATGATTTCTTTTTAGTGAGTTACAAAAAGACAAACATATCCAGTTGACCATATCCAGTTCAAAAATCAAGATTCTAAGCTTCTTGATCATGCACATTGTACTTTCATCCTTGAAAAATGGTTCGAATCAGACACACCACTTTGATTCAACATTTACTGGTGTTCTTTTCTTTTTGTAAATATTTCTAAAAACAACAACAACAAAAAGGAATGAAAGGAAATACTGTCCCACATTAACAGCTCACGAAACGGAAGAGCAGCAAGAATCACACTGACAATTGTTAAGACACAGTCAGGTAGTGACACTGGAGTAAACATTGAATGTCATTGCAACACTGTAGGAACGTGATCATCACTACAACCCATACTTCTGTAACAGTTCGGATTGCCACTGGCGTTTCCGCTCTGGAAAATAATCTGGAATGTGGATTTTTTTAAAATCCTGAATACACTTTTTCATTTCTTCTTCTACGCTGAGCTTCTCACAGACTTTCTTTTTGGAAAGATTGGTTTCCCGGGACTTGCTGATGAGTGTCTGAAAGAGTTCACTGTTTCTGCGTTTGTCTGGTGGGGGCATCCATTGCACAGGCGCTTTTTTGGAAGGGCGATCCAAGGTTAAGGTGTTAGGCTGGTGAGCTGTGGCCTGCTGGGCGCTGGCTGGGTTGTCCTGGGGGGTGCTCGCCTCTGAGTGGCTGTCACAACTGGAGGTGGAGAGCTCATTACAGGAAGTCCCACTTTCACTTCCTTTATCTGTGACTTTGTCATGTTTCCTGTCTTCATGTTCTTGTTTGGGTGACACCATTTTCTGAGATGGCCCTAAAAAGGATAAAAAAAAAAGTAGAACAATTGAATGAGAAGTGAAAAAGTCCAATTAAATAAACTTTATTTCTTTTTTGTTTTAAACCAAGAATATTTATATTAAGAAAAATGCTGTTTGTTGAGGGATTAAATACAACACTCAGTGCTGTTAGTCTACCTTAAAATACGCAGCATGCTGATTAATTATTTATAACATAAAGTTTGGGAGGTTTGCCTAAGGAACATTTCTGCCATAATGGGTCATCCATAACTTTATGTTTAAAAGATTTTTGCTAGGTACTATTTCCTGAAATCTGAAAAAGATATCACATGTAAATATTCCGTAACCATGTCATTAGACACTTAGTTCGTTTCTGTTCTAGCTACCAACACTGGCTGTTCATTCTGCCATTATAAGAACAGAGAGTACCATTGCTCACTTTTATAAAGTAGCAGCATTCTCCAGGCCCAGAGGCACAATAGCATCATTTATGCTTCCCAGGGGGTGGCTGGTTTGAATCTTATCCTCCGTCTTTTAATCTTGTTTCCTGTCTATTTCCTTGGGGGAGAATTATGCAAGTGCTGTAGACATATATGTGCCTACTATTATGGTGAAAAAAGTATAGTTGAAATACAGTGTTCTCTTAAAATACAAGGCTTACCATTTGAGGTAAATTACCTAGGAGGACAATTTTCAGAAAGTGATAGTTTGCTAAGATAATTATTTCAAATACGCAAACAGTTTATTTCCAAGAGAGAGTGTATTTTATTCCCCCTCGCCTCTGCTGTGAGATTATGACATCTATTTAACATTTATTGAACACCACCACATACCCAGAACTATAATAAAACCTGATTAACTGGAGCCTAACCAATCAGAAATATTAAATTACCCAAATTTGGCTTTTTTAGTCAACTTTTATGAACAAGTTACATAAGTCAGAATGGGGGATTCATCAGTATTTTTGAACAGTTGCCCCAGAGGATTCTACTGTGCAGGCAGAGTTGATAAAAATTGGTCTAATTCATAGGGACTCACCTGAGCCACATTTGGAATTACTTGGAAACATTAGATTATCGATGCCTTGGTATCAATCCAAGATGCCCTGCTTTAATGGGATGCCACCTGGCCATTGGGTCGTTTAACAGATTCAGGTGACTTCAATGTGCAGCCAAAATTATGAACCTTTTCTAAGCCTATTACATGTGTAGTGAGTTCATAACCAGTATGAGTAGTTATATTATTGAGAAGGGTGGGAAAACAAACCAACAAAAATACTTTTTACCAAAGCACCTATTATTTGCAACTTACTGTTTGGGTGCTAACATCAATTTCCTATTTAAAATCAGAAGAAACAAAAGTTGATACCAAACATTCAGTTGAGTTGGATTAAAGATTTAAAAAGCTTTAGAACTTTTTGGAATGATGGAAATATCCTGTATCTTGATTGTACTGTTAGTTACAGGATTGTACACATTTGTGAAAACTGACAAAATTACATAGTTAAAATGGGTGAGCTTTTCTGTATGGAAACTATATCTCAATTAACCAAAAACAAACAAACAAACAAAAAAGCCCTAAACACCTTATTAAAGAATATGTACCTATTTGAGGGAAGGCCTAGCCATTATTTCATACCTGCTTTTTCTGCAATAGAGTATACCTAAAACAAATGGTGATGTTTATAAATGCTTAGTACAAAAGTGCACTAGTACATTTCAGAAGCATTTGCAATCATGAATTAAAGAAAACAAAAGCAGCAGCTGTTTTGCAGTCTCTGCCATCTATAATAATAAAAGCATAATATGCTAATTAGAGTGGACATCCTTCCGGTCGTCCTTCTGGAACAAAGCTGGGGCTGCAGCCGAAGGATCCAGGCAGCCACCAGTGGCTGTGAGGGAGGGATCCAGGCAGCCGGGGCTGCGAAGGCCTACTCTTGCACGAATTTTGTGCATTGGGCCTCTAGTGACATTGTAAAAGCAGAGAGTACCATTACTTAATTCTACAAAGTAACAGCATTCTCCAGGTCCAGAGGTGTAATAGCATCATTTATGCCTCCAAGGGGGTGGCTGGTTTAAATCTTATCCTCAGGCTTTTAATCTTGTTTCCTATTTCCTTGGGGAGAATTCTGCAAGGGCAATAATTCCAGGGTAAGAGAGAATGGAGGTGAGCCTGAGGGGAGGGAATGAATGAGGTGCACTTCTCACATCCCTAGCTGACTTACTTACCCTGAGGCATTCTGAACCCTGCTTTATCCTCTGTGGTAGTTGGGCACAAGCTATGCCCTTAGGACCCCTTGTCTTCTGGCTTTCAGTTGGATTCAATGACAAAGACTGGCAACACTATGTTTCACCCCAGAAATTCTGTCATCTGGTTGCCTCCCTGGACCAAGAGGCACATCCCTGGTCAGCAGTTCTCTCTACCTCCTTCTCACTTCTCTCCTTTTCCCTTCTCTCTCCGTCCCTCTGTCACCCTTCTTTCCAGATCCCATTAAAATGAGGCTCACACCTTCAGGCCTACCAGTGTTAACCATGTCATTGTAACTGGCCTGAGGGTATTGCCCACATTAATGCATAATGTCAATAGTCAACTTTTCTCAAATCACCCAATTCAATGTGCTTTCTCTTTCTTCCAGAGCCCTGTCTGATAGACGCACACTGGTCCCCAACCATCCTCTCCAATAAGTAGGTGTCTGTTACTTGTAGGATCAGTTTTCAGTGGTACCAAGTTTTTGTGGCAATAATATTGAAAGTGTTTTGACCTGGAATGAAATTCTAGCTCCCTAGCAAACAACCTCATGGCCTTGGAGCCATACTTAGCGCCTCTAAGCTTCAATTCCCTTATCTGTAAAATGGGTATTAGTACTTTCCTCATACGGTTATTTTTGAGATTAAATGAAATACCATACAAAGGGTCTAGCAAAATAATGCACAACAATCAGAGTATATCATTGTCATTTAAAAAAATTCTGACAGGTGTTCAGTCCCATCTCTAGAGATTTTACATTTGCCAAAGGGTTTGTATGTACATGTTTACATAGAGGTCGGTGTGGTTGGAGGAGCTGAAGCAGCTGTTTATCTCATTATCGTTATGACTGAATGTGATCCACGCTAGTGTGATGCCCACAAGCCTAGTGAGACATAGGATATAAATAAATGCTTTCGGTCCTTTCTGTCAATCTTCTGCATTACTTTAACCAGAAATCCCTAAAGAGAAATCTACAGTTTTCATTCCCACTAATGACTAAGGAATTAAACTGCAAATACCTGAGAAAACCAATTTATATTTAAGGAGAAATGAGAAATGAGAAATAATTTTATGTTAATAGGCACAGGGATAGAGCATTAGACAGAAACACCAGGCAAAAAAAGAGTAACATCCAAGTGGAAGACAGTACAGAAGGAGGACACAGGTGATCCTTGAACAATGTAGGGGTTGGGGCCCCCCACACACAGTTGAAAATCCATGCACAACTTTTGACTCACCCAAAGCTAACTGCTCATAGCCTACTGTTTACCAGAAGTTTTACTGGTAACATAAACAGTTAACACATATTTTATATGTTATATGTATTATATACTATAGTCTTACAATATTCAGTAAGCCAGAGGAAAGAAAATGTTATTAAGAAAATTATAAGGAAGGGAAAATGTATTTTCAGTATTTTTCTATTTATTGAAAAAAAAATCTGTGTATCGCTGGACGGGTGCAGCTCAGACCTGTCAAGGGTAAACTGTCCTAGATAATACAAAATCAAATGTTTCCTTCTGTTTGTATTCACTGGGAAGGAATGCTTAATGACATACCCTAGGGATAATACAGAGTTTCATAAATTCCATGCTTTAGCTAAATAAATTATATACAGTTATTATGCCTAATGGCATTACAATCTATTCATGAAAATAAGTCTCTGCACCCACCACATGCACGTGCACATGCACGGGCACGCAAACACACACACACACACACATCTTTATTATGCTCATATTTCTCTTCAATGAGGGAAGAGCCTTGGAAGAAATGGGTTTGAACTTGGTGCACTTACCAAGTCCTATTGTGCTGGTCACGTAACCTCTTTACTATTTGGTCCTTGCTGGTTAAAATTTTGGGATTGGCCCCTAAGTTCATTAATGTAATAAAGTTGTAGAGTTCTAAAGTATCCTATCTAATAAAGAGGGAATATGCTAATTGACCCTCACGCCATCGCAAAGATGGCAGCACCCACAACCAATAAGGAGGGAATATGCTAATTGACTGCCCCACCCTCAAAGATGGCGGCACCCATAGCCACAAGATGGTGGTGCTCAGTCCCTTCAGCCCCCCAGCCGCCCAGGGCCGGCCCGAGGCACAGGCAAGCCTAGGATGGCAGCTGCCCAGCCACCTAGGGCCGCCCGAGGCTCAGGTAACCAGGGCTGGCCGAGGCTTGCGCTACCAGCAGTGGCAGCAGCAGAGGTGTGATGGGGGCATCACCTTCCCCTGATCGCTGTGTCGCCTCCTGCTCCTGAGGGCTCCTGGACTGTGAGAGGGGGCAGGCCGGGCTGAGGGACCCCCCTTCCAGTGCATGAATTTTCATTCACCGGGCCTCTAGTATAATACATAAGAAGGAATTTTCCAGGCAGTAAAATTCTAATCAGATATTAAATGTAAAACATTAAAGAGTTACCATTAATAAAAATTACCTTTTAGAATGGGGAAACAAATTCAATTTCCACTAAAGTACTTCACAGAATTACAGGCTCCAGGATAACTTTTTAAAGTTAATCAGTGGGAAGAGTAGTCCTAGAAGACATTATTGGCTCACATTTGTTTCATTAAGTCTATTCTTGACAGCAATGACAGCAATAAGAATGATTTCTAAAGCAGGACAGTGTGGACTGGCTGGGCTCACATCCTTACCTTCTTTGCATCTCTATTTTCTTCCTTTTGTAAAAATATATTTTTATTGATTTCAGAGAGGAAGAGAGAAGGAGAGAGAGAAGGAAACATCAGTGATGAGAGAGAATCATTGATTGGCTGC